GTTTGTTGGTTGCGGGATGACACGCTCCTCCCAGTGCTATCAAGCGGAGCAAGGCCACCCCTAGGGTCTGTAGTGACTTCCCATAGGTGACAGTATGTGCCCTATCCTGATTGTTAGAAGTGAGACCACCCAGTAGGTCCCCATCCCAGTCCCCAGCGGTGCGGGCAACAGGCCTCCTCCCACTGAGTACCGTAACACAACAATATAACCAAACAACAAAAGTATTTACAAAGTTGAACCATGCCCTGTTTGTAGCTTGGCACTTCATCCAAGTGCCTTGGGGGTAGAAGCTTAGAGCTCCTTTGCCTGGGAGGTTACGTGCGCTGCGCGCCGGCCTTTTTGTCTGTGGCAGTATGTACCTTTAATTGCGTTTTCAATGGTTAGTTTAACTTCAGTTTTTTTTTTTTTATATATCCATTTGTACTAATCTACGTGACCCCTATTCTGGGCGGCTTGGTGCGGCATAGTTGCCTCTTAGGGATCCCAATCCTTTCAATACTCAGAGTTATCTTTTATTTCTACACCCTGGTGCTGTACCCGCCCTGCTTATGGTTACTAGGGAGTTAGCTAGGTATGGATTAACCTCTGGGTAATAAAGATTACAGTGACATAAACATTTGTGAATTATGATACTTGCGGCTCGGCAAAGTCTGTGGCTTTAGGCCCTCTCAGGCACCACGAGTCTACAGTCTATGTGCGTTTCGCTCGTTTCCAATCCGGTGTTAACCTTCTTGGCTCTTTAGACCGGTTGTGCTGGTGTTCACTTTCTATACCCCATTCTCTCAGGGCATCTGTCCCTTCCTCTGGAGTTGATATTACTGTGGTTCCCTGCTCTTTGCACCAGCAGCTTGACTGGATATCCCCAGCGGTATAGTATGCGGTGTTCTCTGAGCGCTGCAGTGATGTCCTGGAATTCTCTCCTCCTTTGAAGGGTGAATGCGGAGACATCCGCGAATAGCATGATGCTGCGGTACTGCTCTGGTAAGTCCTTGCGTGTTCTACTACTCTTTAGAATAGCCTCTTTGGCATGATAGTAGTGCATACGCACCAGTATGTCTCTGGGTGCATCTTGGGGCAGGAACTTAGGTCTCGCCGTCCTGTGGATACAGTCAAAGAGGAGCATGTCTTGTGGAATGTCTGGCACCAATACCTTGAGGTAGGCCGTGACATGTGCTGGCAGATCAGGTATGCCCACCGATTCCATCACCCCCCGCAGCCGCAGGTTGTTACGGCGGCTTCTGTCTTCTATATCAGCCAATTTTACCTCCTGTGCTGTGAGGCGTTCTGCCATTTGCTGCAGCCGGTCTGCCAATTCGTTATGTGCTTCCTCAGCATCGGTCAATTTCTCCTCTATTTTAGAGGTCCTGGAGCCAAGATCCACGAGTTCTTTAAGCAGGTCACCTATGGAGGTTTGTACACTTTTCATTATTTTGATTGACATCCCATCTAGCATGTTTTGCATTATTGCCTGGGTTAGAGGCCCTTGATCAGTGCGCGCACAGTGAGCTGCCTCGTTACTCTCTTCAGCGCCATCTTGATTACCCGCCGGCTGAGAAGAGCGTTTTGTTTTGGAGCGAAAAACTGCGCCTTGTCCGCCTTCTCTGCTTGTCTCTTGTTCTTGGGATGAGACATTGTGGGTTTTGTGGTTGTTGTCTGCCTTCCTTTCTATATCAATTGCTCAAATTAGGCCTGATGGCACAGAGCTGTGGTTACATGCGGCTGCTCCCGTCGGTGTCCAGGCCATGCCCCCGCAGGAACTTGTTTTAAAGGAACAGAAATAAAAGGAACAAAAGTCTTGTTTGTCAGGATAGGATACTGACAGTTACCCTACAGAGTCGCCATTAGCAGCATTCCCTCTGTGCCCCTGGTTCGGCACTTTCCCTTCATTCAAATGGAACCGAACTCTAGCTCACTGGAAGCCATTTGCATGAGGAAACCCACGAATGGTCCTCAGTGGTACTTAGCCGCGACCGCTATGGGACTGTTTTTGGTAGGAGGACTTCATGGTTCCCGGTCACCTCAGCGGGACTCAGCTGCGAATGTTATGGAACTATTTTCTGCATGAGGTGACCTTGTGATTCCCGGACAACTTGGTCTGGGGTTTTGAACCAGTTTGCAACCTGCCAGGAGAGCACTTTTTGGAGGGAAGGTGCCTGAGACCAAGTGGAACAAATGCGCCCTGAGAGCCAGATGGAGCATTCCATAATTCAGCTGCAGGAGCTCTTGGGAGAACTTTGGCACCCAGATCAGGGCTATTTAGGGATGTATAATATGTATAATATCTCAGTGGTCTTAAATTGCACCGTTACAGTCCATAATGAATGCGGCAGCGAGGCTCATCTTCCTCTCCGCCCGCACCTCCCACGCCTCACCCTTCTGTCAGTCCCTACATTGGCTTCCTGTAAGATATAGGGCTCAATTTAAAATTCTGTTTCTTGCTTTCAAACCTCTACATAATGCTGCTCCCACCTACCTATCCTCGCTAATACACAAGTGTGTCCCGTCTAGACTTACGTCTATTTTCTGTACATACTCCCACCTCTGATGCTTGCCTTCAAGACTTCTCCAGGACTGCACTGTTCCTGTGGAACTTACTTCCCTCCTCCGTTAGATGCTCACCCAGTCTCCACTATGTTTTTCTTTTGTATTTTGTGTTTGCCCTAGCTTACTGGTCTTTAAATCAATTATCTCCCAGTTACTGGTCTTTAAATCAATTATCTCCCAGGTTTGCATTGTATTGTGTGGCGAACTCCAGCTGGTGGTTGTGTATGTAAGCAGGCAACTTGACCATAATAAACCAGTTCCTTTTAACCCTTCATTTAGTCTGGACAAGTGTTTGGGTAGATCAGCTATATTCTCTGCAGGAGAGCTTAATCACTTGAAGCTGTTCCCAGGACCCTGTTCCAGGGTGGGTCACTATAGCATTTTGGAGTTTGAGATTTGAAATGCTGATTGCCCAAAATGTGGATGAATCGCAATTTGTTTGAAAACCAAATGCACAAGTCTAGTAAACATTTTGTTTACATAACAATATTCTCTACATGAACAGGACACAGGCCATTCCCTCTGATCACAGCCTCCGTCTGCTGCAACACATTTACCCATGCAACTAATACTACCATTACAAGTAAAACTAAATCAACAAAACAAAACTATAATAAATGTCACATAACATAACTTAATTTGATATATTTGATAGAGATGTAATATATTCCTAAAAAGTTATGAATTAACCTCCTTTAAAATTCATAGTTGCACGTAATAGACAAACATCATTGGTGGTCTGAACTTAATTATGAATATTTAATAACTTTAACGTTATAATCTTTAGCGTTCACGTCCTTTATCATGCAATATTTTACACAGGGTCTGGTCTTAGTATGAAAGCAGAAATGTAATTTTTCTCACATACAGTACGTGTGGCAAATATAGATAAATAAAAATGCTCAAGTGCCCTGCCCTGAAAAATGGCAACAGGATGTAAAATAATGTTTGCATTTGATCATATTGCCCACATGAGTAAATATAGTAAATCAATATTTAAAATAAAGATATTTAAAGCTTCTTGTAACAGATCCCCTATACTCTGACTGAGTATATCCGTTGTAATTCTCCCAAGTCCCAAGTGAAGCAGTGATTATAGCTCTGGTATACCCAAACATCAGCCTAGACTTGATGAAGCATACAAGAAGACTGTTTTATTATGGCCCAGTGGTCTGCTTATATGCACAACTCCCAGCAGGGAGTCTCCACACAATACAATACAAGCGCATTCCATTAAATCTCTGTGCCTGGGAGATCATTGCATTAAAGACCGGTAAGCTAATTATCTCCCAGGAACAGAGAGGCAAATATAAAACATAAAAATTCCCCAAAACATCATAAAAACATAAAATAACACCACAAATAATACATTGTTAAATAGCCCTGATCTGTATGCCCAAGTTCTCCAAATAGCGCTCAGATCCGTGCGGTGTAGGGTAAATGCCACCATGTTAAAGTTCTCAACGGCCACACACGTGGTCTCTTGCCCAAAACAGTTCCAGGGCGTTTGGTGCTTTTGCTGGTCAACTTTTGGGAGCTCCTGCGGCTGCAATACAGGGTGCTCTGGCTGGCTTTTAGGTAGCATTTGTTCCCCTTAGTCTCAGGCACATTTCCTCCAAAAAGCCCTTTTCCTGGCGGATTTCAAAGTGGTTCAAAACCGCAAACCATGTTGTCCGGGAACCGCACGGTCACCTCTTGCCGTAAACAGTTCCATAACATTCGCGGCTAAGTCCTGCTGAGGTGACTGGTAACCTAAATTTAGTTCCATAATGATCATGGCTAAGTACCGCTGAGGACAATTTGTGGGTTTGGTTCATGCGAACGGCTACCAGAGAGCCAGCTTTCGTTTCCATTCGCATGAAGGGGAAAGTGCCAAACCAGGGTCAGCCAAGCTACTAATGGCGGATGGGGAGCTTTAACTTCCGAACAGGGTCTTTGTATATGGCCCTCAGTCCTGGGGCAGGAGACTAGTTAGCAGTTGTGACATAGGCACGTTTGCCACACTTCTGTTCCAATCTTAATCTCTGGACTGCTAATGAAATGCTTACAGCATTGTCACGAGCGTGGGCTATAGGCCCAGCCGAGACAGTGGGGAGAGTGTGGAAGTGACAGGGTTAATGACACCAGACCCCTGGTTACCTGTTGCTAGTCCCAGCAACCACTCAATTAACCCCTGCAATCCCTTCTACACTATCCCCTTAGTACTACTGCCACCACCAAGACTTTTAAACCCGGGCGTCTTAGGTTACCCCACACACAGGAGAATTATAGTATCACAGTTCTACTTTTACTGATAAAACATATATAGTTAACCCCTTTTGGTAACGTGTTTACCTGAGCTTTCCTCTGGAGAGTGAAGCTCATAGAGAACAGAGACACAAGCTGATTAAGTAAACATTTAATCTGACAAAAAGGATTCACAGGGCTGAGTACAAAATACAGAAATAAATGACATACAGAAAACAAATTGCAAAACAGTACATAAAATAAAATAGGAGAAAACACAAGAAATTCCTTACATATATTTACCCCATATAGAATTCTTGTGGGAGTCTTAGATGGTATAGGTCTCCTAGAAGTTACTGACAAAAGAAAAATGAATAACTGACTTCCCTGGATAGTCCAACACCCTCATATATCTAAACTAGTTGTTTCTCAGTGGGCAGACCCCTGGGGGGGATCAGAGGGGGCTGGTCTGGCAGTCTATTGCCCACTCTATGAAATTCCTTGTGTCCAGCTCTGGTGATGGCTATCTAGATGTTTTATGGTCTAGGCCTGGTGCAAGATCAAAGACCACAATAAATGTCATCCCAAGGTTTACAAAAAAACAACTCTTAACATATATAAACACACATCAAGCACCAACTCATGCTTTTAGCATGACAAGCATGGTTAAAAATTTCAGATCGATATGATCTTCGGCTGTAAGGAGAGTGACTGCACAGCAAGGATTGGAGTGGAGCTGCTAATTATGGTGCTATAATTGGGGACTCCAGAGGGTTTTTTTTATTTGTCATTGTTTTTATGTTACATGGTCCCTGGGAAAGCCCAGGTTGGGGGAAATTTTTACCTAAGGATTCATTAAGTCCTTATAGTTTTAAATATTTTATTTTTCTCAAAGCTGTTTATCTGCAAGAAACTGAATAATGAGGCAAAATTTTTATTCTTTGTTGAACTAAATATTTTGACACTGTTGCACATAGAAGGCTTATCAATAAACTGCAATCTTTAAGTTTGGATTCCAATATTGTTGAATGGGTAAGGCAGTGGCTGAGTCAGAGGGTTGTAGTTAATGGAATATATTAGCTTGGACTTGTCACCAGTGGGGTACCTCAGGGATCTGTACTTGGTAGTGATATTGCAGAAGGTCTTGATGGTAAGGTATGTCTTTTTGCTGATGATACTAAGATATGTAACAGGGTTGATGTTCCAGGAGGGATAAGCCAAATGACAAATGATTTAGGTAAACTAGAAAAATGGTCAGAATTGTGGCAACTGACATTTAATGTGGATAAGTGCAAGATAATGCATCTTGGACGTAAAAACCCAAGGGCAGAGTACAGAATATTTGATAGAGTCCTAACCTCAACATATGAGGAAAGGGATTTAGGGGTGATTATTTCTGATGACTTAAAGGTAGGCAGACAATGTAATAGAGCAGCAGGAAATGCTAGCAGAATGCTATAGGGAGAGGTATTAGCAGTAGAAAGAGGGAAGTGCTCATGCCATTGTACAGAACACTGGTGAGACCTCACTTGGAGTATTGTACACAGTACTGGAGACCGTATCTTCAGAAGGATATTGATACCTTAGAGAGGGTTCAGAAACTACTGGTTAATGGATTGCGGGATAAAACTTACCAGGAAAGGTTAAAGGATCTTAACATGTATAGCTTGGAGGAAAGATGAGACATGGGGGGATATGATAGAAACATTTAAATACATAAAGGGAATCAACACAGTAAAGGAGGAGACTATATTTAAAAGAAGAAAAACTACCACAATAAGAGGACATAGTCTTAAATTAGAGGGACAAAGGTTTAAAAATAATATCAGGAAGTATTACTTCACTGAGAGGGTAGTGGATGTATGGAATAGCCTTCCAGCTGAAGTGGTAGAGGTTAACACAATAAAGGAGTTTAAGCATGCTTGGGATAGGCATAAGGCTATCCTAACTATAAGATAAGGCCGAATTATTCTTATCTGCCGTCACATTCTATGTTTCTATGTTTCTACCCACCCAGAATCCTCTGCAGTAGTAACATCACTGCAACTTTGTGATTTCTGTGCTAAAAGCAAGTCTTATGGCTTTACTGGTGTGAAGATAATATTTCTAACATTTTATTGTCTATCCACTGACTTCAGGCGGAAGGGGTTTTCAATCATAATTGTTCCCCACCATAACTTTCTTGGTTTTTATTTTATTCACATATTTTGAGTGGAAGTTGATCCCTGGCGAGGTAGCTAAGTCCCTTCTAACTTGTACAGCTGCATAGAGCATAGTTTCAGATGTGTTTTTTTCTCTCCTGACATCTGCTCTCACAACACAAACCTTTTTTATTGTATCTGTTAGTACTATAAATGTCTCAGTTTACACACAACATACACACACACAGATAATTCAAGTCTCTCCTGAGTTGAGGAGGGTTAGGCTGAAAATGTTGGGTGAGGGGGCTCTCAATTATAAACGGTAAGAGGTGGTGATTTGAGATAGGAAATGGGGTTTGAAAGAGATAAGAGACTATGCATCCATCTGTAAAAATAAGATCGAGGGTATTGCCAGCTACATGTGTGAGAGAATTAGCCCACTGGGATAGCCCAATGGAGGACGTAATTGAAAGAAGTTTTGAGGCTACAGAGGTCAGGGGTGGATTACTTGTAATGATGTAGTCCTTAAGAGTTATGGAAGGAATATTACTTGAAAGGAATTAGTGAAGACAGGCAGCAAAACGGTTAAGTAAGAGAAGAGCAGAAGCACAATAATGGCAATGTGTCAGGCTTTCTGCCCGCTTACATCCCACCAAAGCTCCGAGTGCAGCGATCCCCTCCGGGATTTCGTCGGATGCTGTACACTTGCGTGCAGTGTGTATATATGTGCGACCGAACAAACTGCTGAATTCGGCATACATGAATGACGTCAGAGGTCAGAATAGGAAATTCAAGTACCTTCCACGAATAGTGGTCAATTCCAAATGGAAAAGGACCAATCAGGTGTAAGTGATGTCTATATATACTTACCTCACCCATTCCTTGTTGCCCTGTTGTGGTTTCTTGATATCCTAATAGCACATTCCTATTATGTTTCTTGGTATATTGTTCTGGCTCATCTATGTTTATCCTGTCCTCTGTTATCTATTGACCTCAGCTTGTTTAATATTATTCTCTGATCTCTGTACTCCTTTGACCCCAGTTTGCTATTGTCACGGGTGGCGGTACGGAAACCGGGACCCCTGAGTGCCTGATGTTGTTGGGAGTCTCCGCGTGATAATGGACTATCAGGGCCTGGTGCAGGGTTACCACATGACCCCTGGTCTTGAGCACCAGCGTTTGTGTGGACACATACCAGAGCTCTGATGCAGCTACTGCGGATCCCAGGAACTAGAAGCATGGAAATAAGCAGACCTCCCAGGAGCTGTGTCCAGTACAGAAACAAGACAAGGCTAGGATAGTCACCAAACATGAAAACAAGACAGAACTAGAAGAACCCAGAACCAGAGAAGGACAGAAAGCAGAACCCAGAACATGTACACAAGACATGAGGAAAACAAGAACAGGGCAGGACAGGACTGTACAAAATAAAACAAGACAAGATATAATAGGCAAAACAAGAGGAGACATAACTAAGCACTATATATGAAAAGTATGGGGATTTAGTTACATTATACGATCATACATTGCATAAGCCTGCCACCACGCCAATGTACCTCATATTCGGCAGGTCCTACTCTGCCTAATGCAGACTAAACCAACCAAAGAAAACACACATAGTCCTTACCTACAAGAAAGGGCAGAAGACTTGAGCAGCTGCCTGCAGGAACACTGAAACAAAAGGAATGATGGAAAACAAACGGGTGTGGCAACATAAAACAAACATTTAACTGAATCCAAGAGACAGGGAATTCCAGGGACGGATTACAGGAATGAACCCAGAAAAACCCAGCATAAAGAAAACCAGACATAGAATAGAAAACCAAAAAAACAAGAAAAACTAAACAAGAATTGTAAAAAGAGTACTGGATACCAGAAGCCAAAGCCAGACATTTCGCAAAACATGGCATGATGTGACATAACTCCCCACTTAAGGAGCGACCTCCGGGCACGACAAGCAGCTCTCAGGCAGAGACCAGGAAAGAAGCGAGGATCCAGCAACTAAGTCCTCAAGACTTACCGGAGGCAAGGATTCCCCGACACCGCAGGAAAGTAGTTTGCGTTTCACAATGCCATTACAAACTACTTTATTTCCATTGGAAAGGTCTCCTGCAAAGGAACCACCAGCCAGGACCGAGATCCACTCCAGAATAGGAGCACTGCCACAAAACAGGAACCAAGCATCACAAGAGAACACCTGAAGCGACCACCGTACAGCTTAGCAGATCAACCTCTTTCACGACAAAAATAAGGAAGCCATCTCCAGTAGACTGGTCCAGATACAGGAACTCTTGCATGCCAAATAACCAACAGGAACTAGAACATGGAACCAAGAACCAAGCATCACAAGAGAACACCTGAAACGACCACCGTACCGCTTAGCAGATTGACCTCCTCCACAACAAATATAAGGAAGCAATCTCCAGCAGACTGGTCCAGATACAGGATCTCATGCATGCAGAAGAACCAGGCATGACATGACAGACAGAACAGGAAAGCTGCAAAGTCCACTCCACGAACTCCAAGCGCCTACGGCCAGCTGTCAAGAGTGGCGGTACGGAAACCGGGACCCCTGAGTGCCTGATTTTGTTGGGAGTCTCAGCATGATAATGAACTATCAGGGCCTGGAGCAGGGTTACCACATGCCCCCTGGTGTTGAGCACCAGTGTTTGTGCGGCCACATACCAGAGCCCTGATGCAGCTACTGCGGATCCCAGGAACTAGGAGCTTGGAAATAAGCAAACCTCCCAGGAGCTGAATAGGGAGGCTCTGCAGCAGGGATGTATCCAGTACAGAAACAAGGCAAGGCTAGGATAATCACCAAACATGAAAACAAGACATAACTAGAAGAACCCAGAACCAGAGAAGGACAGAAAACAGAACCCAGAACATGTACACAAGACATGAGGAAAACAAGAACAGGGCAGGACAGGACTGTACATGAACTGGGATTACAAAATAAAACAAGACAAGATATAATAGGCAAACCAAGAGGAGACATAACTAAGCACTATGTATGAAAAGTATGGGGATTTAGTTACATTATGTGATCATACGTTGCATAAGCCTGCCACAACGCCAATGTACCTCATATTCGGCAGGTTCTACTCTGCCTAATGCAAGCTAAACTAATGCAAAGAAAACACACATAGTCCTTACCTGCAAGAAAGGGCAGAAAACTTGAGCAGCTGCCTGCAGGAACACTGAAACAAAAGGAATGATGGAAAACAAACGGGTGTGACAAATAAAACAAACATCTAAATTAATCCTGGAGACAGGGAATTCCAGGGACGGAATATAGGAATGAACCCAGAAATCCCATCATAAAGAAAACCAGACATAGAATAGAAAACCAAAAACCAAGAAAAACTAAACAAGAATTGTAAAAAGAGTACTGGATACCAGAAGCCAAAGCTAGACATCTCCACAGAACATGGCATGATGTGACAGCTATACTGACTCTGCTTGTTCTTTTAACCAAGCCATTCTAAGAACCGGTATAACAGACTTAT